CAGGAACGCCCATCGATAGACGTGTCAGGCAGCCTTCTTAAGGAGTTCTGTCAAGAATGCAATTACCTGCTTATGCCGAGAGGGTCGGATGAAATAGGACTAACAGCGGCGAGCGTATGGCTGCAGCATAGTGTTAATAGTCGCCGCTACCACAAAGTAGCTCCACTTCCAATCCAGGATCAGACTCACTGGGTTTTTGATTTTTATGAACGCATAGACTGCTAGATTACGAGTAATGAAACTTACGCCGACTGGCCTCCGAAATGCAGCGTTGGAGCCAAAAACTCATTCCAACCTAATAATGATTTCAAATAGAAATCAAATGGGGTGGCGCGACCCGAATCAGGTAGGAATCAGTCAATCAAGAATTGTTATCCTTCATTCTCTACGTTTTTTACACAACATTCACACAGAACTCATGTCTGTTCATGGTTAAAAAGAAAAGAAAATAAGAGTATTCTGTATAGCATCCCTAATGGGGGAAGTTCTTAGGAAAGACCCTACATGTAACAAAAAATCCCCTGGGAGTGTGCCAGTACCCGTCAACAGGCAACACATAAATTTCCTCCCGTCCTGCCCTCCACTTTTACTTTTTTCTTCAGGCAATCTTCTTGATTTTTGAAATTTTCGTCTCGATTTTACAATTCAATCTGTTGATTGCTATGATGACCCGCACCTATGAGACTATCTTCGAGACAAAAAAGGAATGGAATCGACAGGTGGGGAGGGTCTTATTTGATATAAGAGACTATTGTATTTTTCTTAAATCAATTTTAGTGGGCTCAAGTGATCTTGATGCTGGAGCTATCGCTTTCACCCAAGGAAAGACTCACCCATTTGCTAAAGTACTCGCGCCCAACCGGAGTAAATAAGCGATTGAGAAGCTACGTCGTCAGCCGAAAGATTGGAGTTGTGAGTGAATCACTTAGTTTTTGGAGTTTTATTATTATTTTTCCTGAAAGAGACAAGTTTGCAGGGAGATGGCCTGTCGCAGGACGAGGAAGTGCGACTGCGTGAAGAAAAGGCTCAAAGTGTCAGAGACGAAAAGCGACAGCTGATGAAGAAGAAGAATCGGGTAAGTCCTGATCAGATANGTTTTTGGAGTTTTATTATTATTTTTCCTGAAAGAGACAAGTTTGCAGGGAGATGGCTTGTCGCAGGACGAAGAAGTGCGACTACGCGAAGAAAAGGCTCAAAGTGTCAGAGACGAAAAGCGACAGCTGATGAAGAAGAAGAATCGGGTAAGTCCTGATCAGATACCAGCCGCGATGGTGGAAGTTCTTGATTTAATTTGGCCTCACCAGTTTCAATTAAGGAACTGTCCTTTTCGTGTGGGGCAGATTTGAGAGCCCACTTCCAGGATGTTGTGTGCGATTTCTTCTTTCTGGGAACTGTAATGTCGTTTGTGCTGCGGGAGTCCACTAGTTAGGGAAAACAGTGTTCCCATGCACACTTTTATTTATCTTATGTGGATGTTAGTTAAAGTGATGGTTGTTGGGCGTTCCCTCCAGTGCGCCCTCATTTAACCTCCCATACAAATATCTTCCATTCCATCAACTTAAAAAGATCTGGGGACGTAGTTTTGTCCAATGCCGTCATATCAATTGAACAGTGACAGTGGACTGCTTAAGTTAAAGTCAGCCAAACCCTATAGAGAATTCGATCTCTGGGCCGTGAGCGTGGTAGCGGTGCCTTTGTTACCACACCCATTCCCACCTGATATTGATGAGGAACTTTTAGAATCTGCTCTTGTTTTCAGGAACATGATATGAAAGTATTCACTGTACGAGAGCTGGAACGAGGGACGCATATCGATACTGCATCAACAGAGCTACGAAGGCGAGAGAAGTTTCTGGGCGACTAACTCATAGCATTCATTAATTCCTATCAATGTGCTTACTTCCTCGTTAGTGAAGATTTTCCGCCGATTGAGGTTGAACTCCTTCTCTCTGAAGAATGCACAAAGAATTAGACATTGACTATCAGATAGAATAACTGAACGATTCTTTTGCTATGCCAATAAATCTGGGCCTCACACTCCTCATATGCTAACAGGGTAACAAAAGGTTTCCAGGTATCACTGAGCAATCCGCTTTCTTTTTCCCGTCTCCTCTCTGATTTTTGAAACCTTGTGGAAGGAATGAAGCTCTGGTCAAGCATACGTAAAGAATAGCATGTACCAATATGGTACCAAAAGGGAGGTGCCAGGTAGGCCCGCCCATATGCTAATTCGACCTATTTGAATGGGCAAACAAAATCGATAAGCCATTCAGTATGCATCAGCTGAAACTTATAGGACAAAAGTGCACGGTGGTTTCTACCAAATCTCATTTCATAGGATTTCAGAAGCTACCGTAAGTCGATCTAAGTAAAGGTAAAGGTAAGGGTGAAGGTTGAGGCTAACTTTACTAAACCTATTGGTACACGGTGTAGCTGCGCTTCCATTGAACACTAGAATGTCCTGAATTATATCGATCGATCCAAATAAAAACAAAATCGACTCAAGGGTGAATCTGATGAGAGATCCTCCTCTTACCATTCGCTTAGAGAATAAATATTTATTGTACTTCAATGGGTATCTATGCAAATTGTGTTGGCCTCTGGAGTGACAGGGCGCCTCGTTTCATCCCACCAGAACCGTCCAAACCCAATTTTGACAATTCCGTTCGTATTACACGCTCCATTTCATAGCCGTATTTGATCTGAAAAACAATCTTTACTTCAAGAAAGAACCACAGAAAAAACGCATGGTCAGTGTTTCACCTGATTTGCAAGGAATGCTGATAGAACCGTCCACGCTTCGGCCGTAATCGGGCATACATCGTTGGGACCATGATCTGAAGGTAGTAAGATTTGTGTTTTCTACGGAAAACAGGTAGACTAAGGCAGTCGGGGAACGCTTACGTTCAGCCTTACTGTCCCATATAAGAGATAAAAGTTGACCTAGACAATCGCCATGTTCTCGTATCGAATCCACTCCTGTTAGACTACCTCTGGAATGGATTGCCGTCTTCGCTGGAGTGGAAAATGATGAGAACGACGCCGATACCGGCATCTGCAATAAAATCACTTCGACTTTGAAATGTAGTTGTTAGTTGGGTATCAAATCATGATAAGTAAGAGTGGTGGATGTAATTGGTGCACTTCTTAAGGGGCTCCCAAGCCTCGAAGAAACCCAGGAGGTAGGATTGCCAAGTTCGCCTATGAGTGTTACGCCCTAGTAGAGAGAGTGGGCGTACGTACCTGGACTTGTGAAATGGCAGTTCAGGCTTCAGCTATCATCTGAGGACACCTCATTGGAGCATGAATCTGTTCAAAGTCGGAAGATGAGAGATCAACTCTCATAAAGTCGGCGGTGCGCCAGGTACTCAACCTTTACTTAGAGTCGGAAAAACCTTTGTGTGTACTTCCTCCGTCTGCTGCGTCATCGCTGCCAGATCTTCTCTTGGGGAAGAATAAACGTCACCAAAACTAATTTTCTATGCGCAGCATATAGAATTTTCACGGTAAAAATTAGAGTGGTTTTGCGTCAACGTTCTCGGTTCGTTCTCCAGGAAATTCCAGATAATTGCATAGTAAATTTAATAAGGAAATCAGCGAAGTTCGTTCATCCTGCACTGCAAATGCAATTTACACGGTCATTAGAGGACTTGACAGAAAAAAGAACTGTTCTAAAACAACTGCCGGGGGAAGCATTCCTAGCAACTCAGTAGAGAAGGAAAAGATAGATATCTGCAGGGCGTTGGCTAACCTCCATGGCAGATTTTCAGTTGATAATCTCTGGGGTCATACTTGAAGCTCAAGCAGATTTTCTGAATTTTTGATCGGGTAGTCCTCTGGTCATAACAGTTAGCCCGGAGCACCGTTCAGAGAGGGAATGCTTCTGATGAAGGCCATATCTTCTAACTATTTTTGGGTTACGGTAACTTGGAATCCTCGAGATGTAAGCCTCTGATTGCTCACTACTGTGCCACCAGCACTAGTGCTTATAATGATTGCTACCTATCAGTTATCTGAGAATTGAGCCGACCCACCTGTTCTTCTTCGACTGATTTTTCCGAATCTGCCAGCGATTTGAAAGACTTGTCTTTGTCGCTGGAGGTCAAGCTTTGTTTTCGGCTTGG